TACCACTCTCCAAACAAGGAGGATGCTCTGGTACCCCAGGTTCCTTGATCAACATCAGCTGGGCTGGAAACAAAGTCAGGCAGGTAAGCACAAAGGCCTGGGACTATGGGGAACAGAGGAACTATGTCAGTTTGGACAGGCAGGCTTCAGGTGGCTGACTGATGTGCTGGTATGGGTGGGAGAATATGTAAGTCATCAGCACCTCATCTATACATGCAGGAAGCTGGAAGGCGGTGATGTGGACCTTGTTCCAAGTTTCAGTAGGGGTTGGGGCTTGGTAACTGAGGGACAGGACCTAGGTGATATTCTAAGCCAGGTTATTTACTATGGAGCAGGGCTACTCACCCATTTTTTTTTAAGCTAGTGGGTACTTTCCTGCTCCTGGCTCTGACCCCTCTTTGGGGGTTTGTCTGCAGTTGGGTCGGTGGTTTCTGGTGCCACTGGGTGACCAATTAGGCTGGATTCTTTAGATTTATAGCATTGCTTTGCTGAGAGATAGCAAGCCATGGCAGCAGCTGTAAGATCAGTTCAGTGGGGTTGGCTAGAGTTGCTTTGGGTCAAGCAGAGGACTAATAGGCAGGGTATTGCACAAATAGCAAATGGGTGCCATTCAGAAGAGTAAGTGACTTGATTCTTGACCATGGCTTGGGTTTCTGAGAATGAACTAAACCCTTCACATACGCTGGGGACTGAGGCCACAGCATCAAATATTGAACCAAAGGCGCCGATATGTAGCTGGCAGTGATAGTTCATCCTGATAAAAATCCTCATCCCAGGACGAGGGGGCACTCGAGGTTTTGAAGGCAACTGGGGACACTGTCAGTTTCCCTGAAAGTGGAATCTGAGATGAAATGAATGGAATGGTCAATGAGTGAGCTTCTATGCAAGCTGCAAGGTGACTTCAAGGAGGCAGTGCATACTATGATGCCTAACTGATGCCAAGGAACTTCTAGAAGATTTGAAATGGACCAAGCACTTACGAGTGCTGAATACTGTCCAAAGTAAGGCTGCACCCTGTTGAGGAGGGACACTTTTGGTCAATCATGTTGGGCCTCAGGATCGCCTCTTTGCACTGACAAATGGAAAGGTCTATGACATCACAGAGTAGGATAGATGCCAGCATGTGAGAATCCCCCAAGAAACCCAGAGTTCTTTATCACATCACATTCAGTTCTGGGTTACTAGGCACCAGTGGTCAGAGGAGAGCCACCATCTAACCAGGCGTGCCTGGCATATGCCTTTAATCCCAGCACTCAGGAGGCAGAGGCAGGAGGATCTCTGTGAGTTCGAGGCCAGCCTGGTCTACATAGCAAATCTAGGCCAGCTAGGGCTACAGGGAGATCCTGTCTCAAAAAGAGCAGAGAGAGAGCGAGAGAGCAAGAGAGAGAGGGAGAGAGGGAGAGAGAAAAAACCACCCTAGATGTCTCTACTGATGACCTTCAGGATTTATTGAGCCCAGTTTTCCAAGAATCCCCAGGTCAGCTGTCCACTGGAACCTGGCCCTGAGGCCACTGCAGTGTCCAAGCCAAACAGAGTGCATTGTACCACATGGGACGTAGTTTGATTTGTTTCTTTTCTAATATTTGAAAAAGGGGGAATTTAAACTTACACCACTTACTTGTTACTCACACAGGAAGCCCTAGAACTGCTCTCCCTGCTCCCCAGCATGCAGGAACCGAATCTTGTTTTCTCACAGTACAAAAGAAATAGGAAATGGCCAGAGCACAGAGCCTAGGACCTGGGTATACTGGACAATACTCCTTTGAGGTGTGGAACTAGGCATGTCTCTAGAGTCTGTGTGCTTTATTATTTGCTTTCAGAGCAGATGACATGCACACCCCTCCTTTTAAATTGAGTGTATCTCCCAGATTAACCTAGTTCAGGGAGTCCCCTCTATACACTAACTAGAAGGAAAAAAAAAAAAAAACCCAAACAAAAACAACAGAGCAAGAAAACACAAAGCTCTAATTCAACTTCAGGTTTGTTGTTACAAGGATGATCACAACAATAATTTTTAAAAAGTATACCCATGTCTTCTGTCCTTGGGTGAGGGGGAAGGACAGGGGCTTCCCAGAACGCCTCGTGTTATACAAGGGTTTCTGTTTTTTCAAGTTGGTTCATATCTATATAACACATCTATTTAAAGCTATGGGATTATCTTTCTATAAATATATAACTAGTAACTTATTTTTTAAAAGACTAAGTACATAATACATTCAACAAAAATGTCTAAAAAATTATAAAACTTTTAAATTCTGAAGTAAACCTAAAACCTAAACAAATGGAGAGCTATACCACATTCAAAGTTAGAAGACCCAACAGTGTAGATGCCTGCTCTCCACAGCCTGATGTCTATGTTTAGTGGATGACCAGGAAAATTCTAACAAGTAGCATGTATGTTAATGTGTGTAACTTGGTAAGCAGATTTAGTGCATAGAAATAAAAGGCCTTTAACTGTGTGCCAAGGTTTATTTAAAAACTATAACAACTTAAACACAGTGGAGGTAGTGCAGAGACTATGGGACAGATAGAAAAGTGCCATAACAGACAGAGGCACCACCGAGAGCAAATGGAAAGGACAGAATTTTCAATAAATGGTACTAAGCCAATTGGAATCCATTTGGGAACAAATGAAGTGGTTCTTTAACCCTACCACATTTATAAAAAATAATTAACTCCAGACATTAAGTCTAAATGTGAAAAACAGAGCTATACAGTTGTAATACTGGAGAGTGGCTTGACAACTTAATGGTAGGGTAGAATTTCATAGGACACAAAGCACCAACTATGAATGAGAATACCACACATTTCTACATTAAAATTAACTTATTTTGCACATAAAAAGAAACTATAAGAAAATGCAAAACCAGGCCATAGTCTAGAAGGCATCTGCAGGAGACTCAAGTGGCAGGTGTTTCACGTCCACAGTAACTCTTACAAATCACTAATTAGACAATCCATCAGAAAATGGGCAAAAGAAAGGCTGGGGATGCAGGGCAGTGGCAAAGAGCTCACCTGCCACGTGCAAGGCCCCAGGGCCATCCTCAGCACCGGAAAAGTTCAAAAAGGCAAAAGACACAGGTTCAATAAATGAAGGAAAAGCTAACCTGCTGTTTGAGTTGCTCTTGCTGTTGCTGTGACACAACAGCTGACAGAAACAACTTAAGAAGGATTTATTTGGGCTCACAGTTTAATGTGGAAGGCATGGTGCCTGGAATTAGATTTGACATGGTAGCTTGTGATTTTTTCACAGCCTGGTAGATCAGGAAGCAGAAAGCCGGAACCAGAAGCTGAGCTAGGTTATAACCTTCAAGGTCCACCTCCCCACTTTCTCCAGCTACGAACCACCTCCTAAAAGGTTCCACAATCTCCCGAACAGCACCACTAGCTGAGAACAACATATGTAAATGCATGAGCATGTGGGACAGTTTACATTCAAACCAAGATACCTACATTCTTTCAAACTTCAAACTTTTTCTAAACTGTCACTTCTAGTCAAGATGAAGTAACAGAAAGATAAAATTTACCTTTCCACTTACAATAACCAAAATTAACACAAAATACACTGAACAACAGTTTATATTGCTGGACACCAGGCATATATCACATGAACATGAAGTTTTTGTCTTTTTTGATACAGGGAATCCCTGTAGCCCCAGCTGTCCTGAAACTCAGTAGACAGACCAGGCCGGCCCTTAACTCACAGAGATCTGCCTGCCTCTGCCTCCCCAAGTGCTGGGGTTAAAGGCGTGTGCCATAAACATGAAGTTTTACTTATAGTAGTCAATAATTGGGAATAACCAAAACTTCCATCACCAGGTGACTGGATAAACAAACTGTGGCATATTTATAGAACAGACTATGAAGGAATGATAAGCAATGAACTATTAATACAAGCAATAATATGTAAAATTTCAAAATTATTGTTTTTAAACAGGTATATAATAAATGTTTCCATGTATCTATTTCTATATTTCAATCAAAGACAACTGCAATATTTTTGTGATTTTAAGTAATTAAAATTAGGTAAAACTAGATATGATAGCCAGTGCTCAGAGCTACTTCTGCTGTCCTCAGTGGCCCTTAAGGCTCTTCAAAAAAAATCCTTTGGCCCTTGGGAAAGGATTAGAGCACTTCTGTTTTAAGCTAAGAATTAACACAGAAGGATAAACTAGCTGATAAAATTTAGATAAATTTAATCTTTTAGTTACATTTCTTTCTTTCAAATATTGTGAAGGCCAATTGTGGCTCATGTCTGCATCTCAGCACTTGGGAGGTGGAGGTAAGAGGATTAGGAGTATAAAATCAGCCTCTGCCTCATAGTGAGTTCAGGGCCAGCCTGGGCTACATGATAACCTATTTCAAAAAGAGGGGTTGGTGGCATACACCTTTAATCCCAGCACTCAAGAGGCAGAGGCAGTCAAATCTCTTGAGGTCAGCTTGGTCTACATAGCAAGTTCCAGGGTGTAGTGAGAGCCTGCCTCAATAAACAAACAACAAACAGACACATACATTGTTAAGACTTCTCACAGAAACTTCTTAGGGTAATTTAATCAATTTAGAATATTTACATTATTGAATATCTAAATGCTTTTTCCACCTAACCCTTTAAGACATATGTTCTACAGATTTCAGGCATTTAGACTTTTAACTATACGCTAACACAACAATGAATTTTAAAGTTAATATCTGAGATATTATTTTATGTTGATTCCTAAGTCAAAGGTCACAACCCCAGGGATCTGGATGTCTGTTTAGATGCTCCGTCCCGCCATGCTGCTTCTTGGTTGCCTCACACACCAATCAGTAGGAATGGTGCTCTAAAAAGAGGATGGGGCAGCCCAGATGTAGATGTGATGCTAAACGCTGGCCCTATACGAACAATAAATGGGCAGCAGCAAGAATGGTATGTAAAATGCCCAAGAAGTCCTCATCAAAGGAGAATGACTCATTTGTGACCGATATAAATAAATCATCGAGGACACTTATATTTGGGAAATTTTCACAAAAAATTTATTTGAGATCTTATTCCCTTATAAAAACACATAACATCAGTATTGCAAATACATTTTTTCTCTGAAAGATTTTTACCTACTTCTCTACTTTACCTCATGATTAATTTCCTATCCTAACACAAACAGAAAACTTTACTTTTCTTCCTCCTCCTTTGAAAGGGCAACAGCCAAAGGGGTATCTTAATGGAATGTGCCAATTACTCTTTGCTAGGAAAGCAGTAACTTCTTACTGCTTGGACTTAGAAAGCAATTAGAGTTCTTTTTGCCCTGACCAAAAAGTCATTAAACCTTGAACTTGGATGCACTTTTCTATAATTTGAGATTTCTCTCCCTGAGTCTCATTTTAACACACAAACTCTACTTTAAAATAACTAGTAAAACACTGAAAGCACTCAAGAATTGCTCGGGAAATGATTAAGGGATTATGAAGTTAATTTACTATTTTAATAATTTAACTACTTTCCATAAAGGAATAAAAAATAAATAAAAATTACATCAAGAGTGACCTAATGCTAAGAGGAGGATGAATTCTGACAGTTGAACTCTTGTTTCAAGATCAATTCTATAAATACTTAAAATATTAAGAATGCAATTTACACAGTAAAAATGATTTGTTTTCAGTATGAAAGTACTTTTAATTTCTTTACTGCAGGTACAATGGCATCCAAGTCATCGATTTCTGTAATAGAAAAAAATTAAGAATTACAAAGAGAACGACTTTCTGTGATAAGCTCATAGATAAGAAGTTCTATGCAGAGGCAAAATTCAAACACAGGGCAACAATAACAATACCAGTGCTCTCTTTCAATGACGGTTGTGGATTTTTACTGCCTCACAGGGATGCCTCACAGGGCATCTGTTTAGAGAAGTTACCACATACTTCCAAGTACCCTCTGAGTCCAATCTTAGCAGCAGCAAACCCTTATTAACACAGTTGGCTATGTTTATACCTTGATGCCTCTTTAAGTCTGTAGAGCTACGTGGGTGAGCCAACCTGGTGAAATCCCAGACGGAAGCATCTTTTTTCTGAGTCTCCACCTGACAACTTGGGAATTTCTTCTCAAAGAGCATAGTGGTCTTACTTGATTCTCTTAGGAAGAATTATTAGAGGGGAATGCTTCTTTGGGGGTTGAAAGGGATTTTCCCATGAAGAGGTGTGGTGCATTTCAGAAACTTCAGGTAAAATGTACAACATAGCACTGGTTTATCAGACAAACCAGCTCACCTGTTCTTCAAGGGGTTCTTTTTGAGTTTGATTTTTCTTCCTAAAACTATCAGATTTCAATGAACCTAAGCTAGAATTCACTCTCTAAAGTCCCTGGTCACTGAGCAGAGTCCTTTCTCTTACCCAGATCAGCCCTACTAGAAGGTTCAAGAGGCAGGGTCTTTGATAGCCACTACTATTTTCTGGCTTATTCTGCTTGGCCATTGTTTATAAACTTATTTCCTTTTTACACAGAACATGCTTCTTTGGATTTCAACTCTATCTTGCTCCATTTTCTTTTAGCCTAAACACATGACCCATGCTATCCCACTGTCCTAACTTTAGTCAGAACACTAGTTCAGACACACTTAAAAAGTGTTAAAAATACAGGAAAGGAAACAATATAAAAACAACCTGCAACAGAGAATTTGATGTACACCTTACACTGTACAAGATGAACTAATACCCTGCCTCCCCTATTCTGAAATCACACCTAGTCTCTCTGTAAATAAGAAACCGACCTTATAAATAGACTTCACAGAGCTGAGAGGGGAATTTTCTCAGCTAATCATGCCACTTATATAAGAAAAAGAAAGAAAATATAAAAATAACTGTGTTGAAGATAGTCTCCTCTCTGGCATGTAGAACACTACTCTGTACCTACTTAATGGCATTAATTAAAACAAAACATAATTACATTTTGCCAAACATTTACTTTTCCAGTGTTATTTAACTCCAAGATTTCAACTTTGGTCAAAATATAGAATTCATCAGCAAAGAAAGTTGGCTTTTCTGAAACAAAATGATATCTTATAAGCCACACTGAATACTGTGCCTGAGGAGTTTCTACAGAAGCATCTGGTCTGTAGTGTGATTAATGCACCTACTAAAACACTTATTAATGTATGAAACAGTGCTCCCTTATGACTAGAGTATCACTGCTTACAGTTAACGGCATCCCAATGCAAGGGCAATCAAATTTTCTATGGAACCAGCACTTTCAGGGTATTAGGTAACATGCATACCACACAGAAGCAGCCCGGACACTTCTAAGTTCATGCCTCTTCTTCCTCCAGTCACATACTTCTTTCACTGATTTATCTTCTTATACATTTTAATACAATCATTCCCTTTTCTTCCTATCAAGTATCATTTCCTTTTCTAAAATCAAGGAGTGATTTAAAAAAAATAAAAATATTTCAGACCTAGGCATGCATGCCTATAATTCCAGGACTCAATAGGCTGAGGCAAGAGGGATTGCAAGTTCAAGGACTGCTTTTGATACATACAGAGATCCTGTTTCAAATAAATAACTTAAATAAATATCTTCCAAATGAACTATAAAGAAAAAATCTGTTAGGGAGTAAATTACCTTAAACTTTGAAAATTGTTCTTAATAAGATAAATTGTATAACACTATAAAATGATATTTAAAATAAATAAGAATCTCTCTGCTGGGCTTGGTGATGCACACCTTTAATCCCAGCCCTTGGGAGGTAGGGGCAGGCAGATCTCTGTGAGTTCAAGGCCACCCTGGTACATAATGAGTTCCTGGACAGCTGGGGCTACAGGGAGACCCTGTCTCAAAAAGACCAAAAAAATAAATAAATAAGAGTCTCTCTTTAGCTTATGATTCCAAAACAAATTATATTTCCCCCTCTAAGATAAACTATTGGGTTGGGGATATATTCAGTGGTAGATCTCTTACCTAGTATGTAACACACACACACACACACACACACACACACACACACACAAACACAAACACACACATGTGCACTCACACAGTACTGCTAATGAAGACCTCAGTTTGACCAAAGTGTAAGCATAATACATCATTTCTTCCTTACTTTATAATATTTCATATCACCTGACAAGTTTTCTTTGCATATTTAAAAGTACAGGTGCTATCTTTAAAAAGAGATCGAGAGAGAAAAGGAGAAGGACAAGAAGGCCTTCAAGATCCTCAACTCTACTAAGGTTTCTTATAGAGCCAGAGGTCCCCACCAGAGTAATGGCATCTCTCATGAGAAGGTCCCCAAACAAGACAGTACCTCTCTCTTTAAAGGCTCTGTATGTACTTATTCTGTGAATTAACCCCAGCCAACTCCAACTGGATGGCTGGAGGGCGCCTCTGTGAGTGCTTTCCAAGTACTTTCTACCAAACACCAAAGGCGAAAATGTGAATCCAGTGATAAAGAACGCTGTTCTCTCAAAACCACTAATATCTTCAACTCAAAATTTAGTGACCATCAACAGAGATCTTACCTAAGATTTCAAGTAGATCATTAGTAAAAGCCTGAAATGCTGGGAAAAACTCCTCATGTTCTTCCAATTTGTTGATAATGCTGTTTAAAAAATGCACAGTTTACAAAAGCTGCCTACTCAGAATTCTAGCATCTGATTGTTAATAGGTGGCTGCAGACAGAACATTTTCAAAGTGAAAAGAAACTGTCCTACTAAATTGAATATAAACTTTCTTTTCGTGTTTTGGTTTTTTGTTTGTTTGTTTGTTTGTTTTGTCTTTTTGAGACAGGGTCTTCTCTGTAGCCCCAGCTGCCCTGGAACTCAATATGTAGATCAGGCTGGCCTTGAACTCAGAGATCCTCCTGCCTCTGCTCCGCCCCCTTTCTGGCCCAGTGCTGGGACTAAAGGCTTGCGCCACCATGCCCAACTCTTTTTTGGGATCTTTATTCACCTAATATAATTATTCTTTCTTAAGAAACAAACAAACAAAAAACACCTTATCAGGGTAAACATTCATTGAATTTATACAGCATTCTTCACATGGCAAAGTTCCCATTATCTTGAGGCTTCTCAGACCATATTTCAATAACATTTCTATAAACAGGCTTTTCTACCCAGTATGCTATTAAATATTAAGGACCTGTGATCAGTAAAACAGTGGAAAGGAGGGAAAAGACCCATAGTCAAAAGCATCAAACATCAAAACACTCCAATGCCAGACTATGAGGGTTCTTTCTGGAAAATTTGAATATATGATTCTGTGGTCTACATGTGATTCCCTACACATTGCAGTGTAAGATTGGGAGTACTGGGGAAGGTTGCTCTAAGTATAGCTGTGACACCTCAGGGTTTTTAGGAGGACAGGGTAAATGATGGAGCATGAGCCCAGGGTTTCCTGCAGGCTAAGCACACTCTACCACTAAGCTGTACCCCTACCCTAGCACCTTCATATTTTTCAAAACATCAGATTTTATATTAGTGGTACCTACCTAGTCTTTTAAAAATTCTTAACATTTATCTTCTAATCAAATTACAAATATGCTGTTTGTAATTATTCAGTAGTCTTTGGTAGCATCCTAAAAATAAATTATAGTATATAATCCAAACTCATGTGAATTGGCTATAAAGCTTTTTTCTTTCTTTCTCTGGGGGCTTCTGCTAAAGAGTTCCCAACCTATATGAATTTATATGCCCAACAATTCATTTTTATCTTGAATACCCTTGACATTTTCTCCATCCCTTAAGGGTGTGGGATTATATAGGGTTGTGAAATTATTTTAAAAGTATCACTCCAAACAAGGAAGGTAAGTAACTTAACTTTTAGCCTTTAATTTCACCACTTCAAGTATTTATAGATATTTTAGACAAATACCTTTGGAGGGCTTCAGGTCCTAGTACTTGCTTAACCTGCTCATTCAAACCCTCATTAATCATCTTACATAGTTTTCCAACTGTGCTTACCACCACACACAAGGAGGATGAACTATCTGCAAGAGAAATAGAGACATGGTGTTTTAAAAAAGAATTTCCAGCCAGGCGTGGTGGCACACACCTTTAATCCCAGCACTCTCGAGGCAGAGGCAGGAGGATCTCTGTGAGTTCAAGGCCAGCCTGGTCTATATAGTGAGTTCCGGGACAGCTGGGGCTACAGGGAGACCCTGTCTCAAAAAGACAAAAATAAAATAAAATAAATAAAAATAAAAAAGAATTTCCAAAATCATTACACCATCAAACATGTTATGCTTCAGTTACCCTCAATGTTTCAGGGAGAGGTGTTGTTTTAAGATATTTTTTAAAAAGTATTTTATTTACTATTTTATATGTATGAGTGTATTGCCTGCATGTATGTGAGTGCACCCGTGTCGTGCAATGCCATGGAGGTCAGAAGAGGGCTTCGGATTCCTCTGGAACTGGAGTTAAAGACAGATCATAGCTGCCATGTGGGTGCTGGGAATCGAACCCTGGTCCTCTGCAAGAGCAGTCAGTGCTCTTAGCCTCTGAGCTATCTCTCTAGCCTGTTTTAAGATTTTTATTTATGTGTGAGTGCATATGTTTCTAGGTGAGCTCATGTGCACATGTATGGGTGTGTGTGCTTCTGCACCCACAGAAGCCAGAAGAGGGTACTGGGTGTCTTCTGTCCCTCTCTGCACATTCCTTTGAGGCAGGCTAGCTCCTTGAGCCTGGGGCTTAAGTTTTCGTGGCAAGTCTTAAAGCTGGTGAGCCCCAGTAATTAGCTTGTCTCCTACTGTCTCTGCTCTCCTCAGAGCTACGGTTACAGGCATCTGCAAGATGTCTGGTTTGTCATGTGAGCACTGGATCCTAACTCCAGTCCATGATTACAGAACAAGTGTCATTAACCATTGAGCCATCTCTCCAGTCCTGGTGGTGGTTGTTTGATCCAGTTTCCTACCCCAGGCTTCTCTGGATAGTGTTAGTGTCAACTTGACACACCTGGGTTGAGGGAGCCTCAACTGGGGAATTGTCTTCATTGGACTGGCCTGTGGCCATGTCTGAGGGGCATCTTCTTGATTGTTGAGTGATGTGGGAGGGCCCAGCCCACTGTGGGTGGTGCCACCCCTGGGCAGGTGGGCCTGTGTTGCATAAGAAAGCAGGCTGAGCAGGGGCCAGGGAGCAAGCCAGTGAGCAGCGACCCTCCATGCCTGTGCTCCAGCTCCTGCCTCCAGATTCCTGCCCTGAGTTCCTACCTTGGGCTCCCTGATGAACTACGACCTGGGAGATGTAAGACAAACCCTTTCCTCTCCAAGTTGGTAGTGGTCAGTGTTTTGTCACAGCAATGGAGAAGCAAGCTAGAACAAGCAGAGATGACCTTGAACTAAATGGTTTTTTTAAAAATTTGTGTATGTGTGTGGGGGGGGTAGGGGTGTTTTGTGCACACATGTATGTATGCTTTTGCATGCATGAAAGCTAGATGATGATGTTGGATCTCTTGGAGCTGGACTTACAGGCAGTTTTAGTGGTGCCTGGCTTGTTACAGTGTGTGCTGGGACATGAACTCTAGTCCTCATAATTGCACAGAATCTCTCCATCCCCTTAACTCCTCCTGCCTCCATCTCCTGAGTGAAGGGAGTCCAGGTGGACACCAGCATGCTGTTTATGCAGTACTGGCGATGAAACCCAGAGTTTCACGTATGCTAGGCAAGCACACTGCCAAGCTACATCCTCAGCCCTAGTTTTTTAACTTAAAGAAAAACATTTCTTTTGTGGTGTGTAGTGGTATACAACTGCAATCTCAGCCCTCAGGAAGTAGAGGAAGGAAGATGAGGAGTTTAGGGCTAGCCTTGGCTATATAAGACTCTGTGTCTCAAACAAACAAAAAGTTGTAACCTAATATTTTGCTAACTTATTGAGAGTAGTTCTTAAATCAGTGCCAAAAATGACAAAGGGTCATCACCTAATTCCAAGAGTTCTTGGAGGTTTCTCACAGCATTGTTTATTTCTCCAAGCCTAGTATACACTTCATGCATTCTGGGATAGACTCCACTTAAAGAAGGCACATCAAATAGTTTTTGGAAGTGAGAAACAATAGCTTGCAAAGTTTGAAAGTTTGATGTGTTGCTGTCCTGCCAAAAAGAGGGTGAGAAGATAGTTCACATCTTGAAATAATCCCAAATATTTCATATCAAAATTGAAAATGAGACAAGTTATCTAAGTATGAAGTATAACCTTCTCCTTATTTTCAACTTCCTCCAACATGGTATCTACCATAAGTAACAGATCCCCAACTCTGACACCTTCATTTTCATCCTGCTTCTTCAGATCATGCCAAGGTATGAGTTCTGCAGACAGTATTTTCAAGGACTTATACAGACCCTTTACAACAAAAGAAACCATAGTGAATTACTGATTTTAATAAAAATTTGTACAGCAATACTCGTAACATAGCAATCAAAGCAAGTTAAAAATACGTAGATATAGACATATAACTATCACTATTTTTAAAAGACTATTGCCAGTTTAAAACAAGTCTGTGGAGCTGGGCATGGTGGCACCTTTAATTCTAGCTCTAGGGTGGCAGAGGCAGGCAGATCTCTGTGAAATCAAGGCCACCCTGGTCCATGGAGTTCCAGGCCAGCTGGATACAAAGAACCCCAAGTCTGTTAATATTAGGTTTATCTCAGTAAACACTGGCCCCTCAAAAAACTACATATCCCAAATCTGGATGCTTTAAGCAATAATGTTATTTAAGTAGTTATGTTTTGTTTTTAAATTTTTTATCAGTCCCATAGATTAAGCCCCAAGGCCCTCCCTCATACATGCAAGGCAAGCAGTTTACCACTGAGACATATCCCTAGTCCTAGTTTTGAATTTTTCTATAGCAACTTTGAGATGAAATTTATATACCAAAATACTGACCCTTACTAAGTATACAATTTAATAGTTTTAATCTCTTCACAGTAATGTGCAAACACCACCACTACCTAACATCAGAAGCTATTCAGCTCTCCCAAAGAAATCCAATACCCATCCACTTACAGTCCTTTCGTATCTTCCTCTGCCTCTAGCCTCTAGTAACCATGAATCCACTTTCTGCTTCTATGAATTTGCCTACTCTAGGCATTTCACATAAATTATACAAGTGGTCATTTCTTACTAAATTCCTTCAGTTGAGAATGCCCCATGTTACAATATGCCAAAGCATCTCTAAATTAAGGATTAATACTTATATAACTGTTCTCATTTTAAAGTTTTATGTTAAATATTTAGTATTATACTGACATGTGAACTATCTTTTACAGCCTCTTTTGGATAGGACAGCAACATGTCAAACTTTCAAACTGAAAGTTAGCTTTCTCTCTCTCTCTCTTCTAAAACCTTTTTTTCTTTTACTTTTTTCTCTCTTTTTTTTAAACCCCTGAAGATCTCTGCAGCCTAGTTACTGATTTATTGCAAATTCATGGTGTATCAAGGTCATTGATGAGTAAGGGAAATATGGCTATGTTCAGAGGGTGAGAGATAGTGCAAGTGATGAGAGGGGCTTCTGTTCAGGACTGAATGGTCAGCTACTCCAGGACATCTAAGCTATAACCTGAGACGTTTAATTCGGATTGCAAGAGACTATGGGCACTTCCTGAGATGGAGACCAATTCAATATTAGAAACATGCAACTTGGGTGTGGGATGAGTAACTAGAAGGTCTCTTGAGGGATAACAGAAATGCCTCTGCCCCCATTTTGTGTGTGTGTGTGTGTGTGTGTGTTTATAAATTGCCATATAATAAAAAGCACACCTAATCCTTTGAATTTCTATTTGACACCAAAAGGGTAGCCTGGTGGGATAATTCAGTGGTAGAACACTTATCTCACATGCTTGAGGCCCTAGGTTCAGGTCCAGGTCAACACGCACACACACACACATATTATAAAACTAAAAAGAGCCGGTGTGGTGGTACACGCCTTTAATCCAGCACTTAGGAGGCAGAGGGAGACAGGACTACATAGTGAGACCTTGTCCCAAAACAATAAAAACAAAAACCCTAAGAAGATAATGCATTCTGGTTTTCTTGGCAGTGACAGGACAGTTAGAGCACTCAGTTCCTAGGAGTTCCAAGTAAACTCTTAGGCTCTTCACTTTGCCCAGCTGGGAGATGTAGAAATACCACGAGGTTCTGTCTAACTGTACTGCTGGCCTCTGGATCACGGATAATGGGAAAGTAATTACAGACAACAGTGTCCTGGGTTGGAAAAGCTACAGTGTCTGCACCGTTAAGGTGAGAGAAAAAGCCAGAAAAAAGGAGGCAGCCAGCTCTCTCCATACTTTTCCTAATTGCCCACCTAACTGCCTGGTAGTTCTTGCTTTTTCTCATTAAAAAATTTTCAGAGATAAACTTAATACATCAAATTGATAGTACTTAAAAAATAAGTGACAAGATTCTAATTTTAGAAAAGCTTCTTAGCTTTATAGTTAAAAGAACAACAAAAACCAAATCTTATTAATAAAGCCCAGTATATTATCCAAATAGGTAAAGAATATTAAACCACTTACCTTTAAGGATGTCAGTTCATCTGCCCACATTTCTATTATAGGAACAAGATGTTCAAATCCACAATCTTGAACAATGTCTTCATCAAAGTTTTTGGCTCCTCCTCTGCTCTGTTTATAAATTATTACTGGAGCTCTTGGATTGTGAATAATTGAATTGATGCTGCACAACACCTTTAAACAGAGTCAGGTTTTTAGTCAAAATGTCCATCTGAGTCTGACAAAGTGAGATATATTAAAGGAGTGCTTTCTATCCCAACATCACATCATTTTCAGGCACTTGTAAATACCGTGGTAATATAGTAGTCTCATTAGTATAGTTAAACATAAATTCTAATGAAATAATCTTTTAAATAAATTATAAAAACTAAGCTTTTAAATGACTCAGACTTGAAAGCAGCTACAATCTATTATAATCCACACAGAATAATCCTAAAGTCTCCATGTTTTTCTGTTTCCTCTTATTTAAACTAAGTATAATATTAAAGGTTGTTTTGGTGGGGAGAGGGGCAGTCTTTTTGAGACAGAGTTTCCCTGTATCCCCAGTTCACCTGGAACTAGATCTCACAGAGATCCACTTGCCTCTGCCTCCCAAGTGCTGGGATAAACGGCATGTACCACCACTCCTGGCATTTTGTTTGTTTTATAACTTCAGTTGAAGATGAATGTGAGGATAGCTATTAGTCCCACAAGTCCCACACATTCTAAAGAGAAGTCTGGCATAATATGGTATCTTGCTAAGAAGTGATAAAATGGTTGCTAGATAGTGATCAGCCAATCCAACAAAATGTTAAAATTCATTAGACAGGACTCTCCAAGAAGAGTGTCTCTTAAAGGATCTCTAGAACTAGAAGAAAATTGTCTTGCTTTTCTTTTCTACCTATAGAAAGCCACAGCAAACGTGTTTCTGAGAATCTGATTCTCATGCTTATTTATAAGCAAGTTTTTTTGTTTTGTTGAAGTTTACAAGTGTTTCAATATTTCATTTTTACTATAAACTCATTTATGAATATAAATTAATTGAAAAGATAATATTCCTCCACCAAATCAGAAATGAGAGTGGGAAGAGAGCGTGTGTGTGTGTGTGTGTGTGTGTGTGTGTGTGTGTGTGAACTCACACAATGGTCAGAAGGTAGCAGGTGAACCTGAAAGAGATAAGGGAGTGGATTCTACCTGAGCTTCAGCAGATCCCAGGACAATTTCTTGACATATTTTGAGCTAATTACATGCATGTTTAGATATATGTATTCATACTTTATTTTAGATTACTTGTAAAAAATGATTGTAACCATTTCTTGTCCTTACACTGCTACATCGTTACAACCTGGCATGTAAGCTTGTCCTTCAAAATGTGGATTGAATCTGGATTGTTCTTGGGTCATGTTTTGATTTACAAAATTTACATAAAGAACGTTATGCCACTTCAGAGCTCAGTCCTTAAAGAGGCCTTGATCACTCCGGCTCTTTCATCTTCACACCCTGCTGCTGCCACATGGCCAAATGCAATCAGGCCTGGTAGATTATGACATATATACACATGGCCCATTCATCCCTATCTCTGAGACAAATAATAACTCAACTCCCAGAAGCAGTTCCACTCTAATGATTCGTGTCTCACAACTAATGCACTACCAGTATTAACAGAACTACATACTTGCTCAAGCAAAATATTAATGGATTATTTTAAGTCACTAAGTTTTAAAAGATTTTACACAGCAAAAATGAACTGAGCCATACCTGAATATAAAGATGGAGTAGAGCAAGGTAGAACCTGCCCTTTTCCCTCGTGAGAGGGTAAGAGTACACTGGCCAACTAGAAACCTTAGAATGACAGATAAGCTTTGCTTTCATGAAAATAAGTGTCTATGACTGGAGCACCATAGGGGTAGAGCACATGACAAGAGAAGGGGAATTCATGAGAAGTCAGCTGCAAAATGCACTGCCCACAAAATAAATGCAATACTGCTAAGGTCCCTAGTTAGTAGAAAAGAGAAAACCAAGCATGCATGCACACATGCACACGCACACATGCATACAAATTCCATGACAGAAAAGAAGAGGTTATATTTGGACATCAGACCCACAAAGGGCACAGCAAAAAAAAAAAAAAGTATGAAGATGAGTTCAACATTTTGATACTGAATGTTTGCCCTACATATATTTCAAGCTGGAACTAACATGTCTTCTGAGGTTAGTTAGAAGCATTTTAAAGTTCAAGACACATATTTCAATATTTCACTTCTATCTAAGCTCACTTTTTTTTTTTGGTCTTTTTGAGACAGGGTCTTCCTATAGCCCCTGCTGGCTTGGAACGCTCTATGTAGACCAGGTTAGCCTTGAGCTCAGAGATCCACCAGCCTCCACCTCCTGAGTGCTGGGACTAAAAGGTGTGTGCCACCACGCCAGGCTAAACTCAATTTTTTAAAGACAAGGTCTCCCTGTAGCCCCAGCTAGTTGTGTAACTAGTGGTTATACTGTTGCCTGCCTCTGCCTCCCAAGTGCTGGGATTAAAGACATGCACCCCAATGCCCAACTTAAATTTATTATTATTATTATTATTATTATTATTGGTCTTTTTGAGACAGGGTCTCCCTGTAGCCCCATCTGGCCTGGAACTCCTATGTAGACCGGACTAGCCTCGAACTCAGAGATCCACCTGCCTCTGCCTCCCAAGTGCTGGGATTAAAGGTGCACCACCATGCCTGGCAAATGTGTCATTTTAATGGAAGAATTAATTCCCTTGCACAGCATTTAAAATTTTTTTGATTGATTGATTGATTGATTGATTCATTGATTCATTCATTCATTCATTCATTCATTCATTCATTTTGGTCTTTTTGAGACAGGGTCTCCCTGTAGCCCCAGCTGGTCTGGCACTTGCTATGTGGACCAGTTAGCCTCGATCTCACAGAGATCCACCTGCCTCTGCCCCTAAATGCTAGGACTAAAGGCGTGTGCCACCATGACCATCTTGATTTTTATTTTATGTGTATGAGTGTTTGTGTGCCATGCCTGCAGAGGCCAAAAGAGAGCAAAGCATATTCTTCCAGCAGCAAAAGAGATAACAATTAAGACACCATAAAGTGACTTAAACAATTTTGACAGAGATAAGAACTTTTAATAGATAAAAACACAAAAAGCTGGGCGTGAGTTCAAGGCCAGCGTGGTCTACATAGTAAGTTCCAGACCAGCTGGGACTTCAGGGAGACCCTGTCTCAAAAAGACCAAAAAAAACCCCACAAATCTGTTCAGTTTGCAGATGTTGATACAGGTAATGAGGGAACAGGAAAAATTAGGGTGACTTTCCTAACTACTTGGGAACTTTAAAATGACAAAGTCAGAAACATCAACCAATCTAGTAAATGCCAGAAAAAGCAAAAGAGGACAAGGGAAAGTAAAACAAGAAACCAAGAAGTAGAAAATAGTGAGACGTCAGTGATAGAAGTAGAGACAGGGTACTCACGACTGCTTTCATTCTCTTTAAGACGCAAAGCCTCTCAACTGAAAAATACCAGTTATTGCCAGGCATGGTGGCACATGGAGGCAGAGGCAGGCGGATCTCTGAGTTCAAGGCCAGCCTGGTCTACATAGGGAGTTCCAGGCCGGGGCTACAGGGAGACCCTGTCTCAAAAAGACAAAAAAAAGAAAAGACAAAATACCAGTAATATACTTACAGAGAGATATCTAAAATAAAGTCACGCAAAGTTGCCTGGATATTATTCACAATAGGAATAAAGAACGTTAAATACCTAAAATATTTCATTCAAATAAAATCAGCGACATATTTGTAAATGAGATGATTCAAAATTGTCAAAGGTTTCATTCCTCCAAAGATTAATTTATCAAGTCAATCCTATTTCAATTAATCTCAATGGGATTTTTTTTTTGATAAAGTGTTCATCTGGACGGGTAAATGTACTAAACTATAGCAAAGAAAAGATTTTAAATATTTACTCCGAAGAGTATCAAGGCCTGTAATAAAAGTATAGAAGTCAGGGCACGGAAATGGGAAAGGAGGGAAACTAACTACAGAGTGTGGAAATAAAGCATGAGTCTACAGAAATGAGAGAAAAATGCTGTGTCATGCAAATTCAAATGCCCACAGAAGCCAAATACAATCATAAATGAGTGATGGGTAGGACTGTAGCTAAACAAAGAGTACACGTTCATATCTGACAAGGGAATTCTGCTGAAAATCAACATGCAGGAATTAAAGGAATCCAGGCTGGACACAGGCACTCAGCAGGCAGAGGCGGGCAGATCTCTGTGAGTTCGAGGCCAGCCTGGTCTACGTAGTGAGTTCTAGGCCAGCTGGGGCTACAGGGAGACCCTGTCTCAAAAAGACCGTCCTAGTTTGTTTCTTCATTGCTGTGACAAAACACTCTGACCACTGCCAACTTGGAGAGGAAAAGGTTTATTTTTCTTACATTTCCCAGGTCACAGTTCATCAGGGAGCCCAAGGTAGGAACTCAGGGCAGGAACCTGGAGGCAGGAGCTGGAGCACAGGCCGTGGAGGAACACTCTTAACTGGCTTGCTCCCCTGGCCCCTGCTCAGCCTGCTTTCTTATGCAACACGGGCCCACCTGCCCAGGGGTGGCATCACCCACAGTGCGCTGGGCCCTCCCACATCACACAACAATCAAGAAGGTACCCCACAGACATGACCACAGGCCACTCCAATGAAGGCAATTCCCCAAATGAGGCTCCCTCAACCCAGGTGTGTCAAGTTGACACTAAAGCGATTATCCAGCACAATTGACCCCTTGTCAACTTGACACATAAACACATCACTATTAAACCAAAACTTTTCCAATTTTTGTCCCCAAGATATGATGTTAATATTACAATATAAGGCAGTACAACCTTAAAAGCCCCACAGGCCTTAAAAAATCCAAACACTGAAAAGTCCATAGTCTCTTTTAAAAGTCTCTCAACTGTGGGTGGACTTCTATACAATCCAAAACAAGTACTGTCTTATTTCAAAGGGAAGAATCGGGCACACCTAAGCAAAACCAAAGTCCAGCAAAGTAGCTCAAGGCTGGACATCTGGGATTCACTCACGATCTTCTGACCTCCAAAGGGTTCTGGCAGCTCCACAGCTCTGATTCTGCCATCCACAGCACAAAAAGCTCGTCTTGCAGACCCAGGCCAGCTCCATTCCATACCTACTGCAGTCCTTGGTGGTCGTCCCATGGTCCCGGCATCTCCAGAAAGCTGAGGTCTCCACCGAAACTGAGGCTACACCTTCACCAATGGCCTCTTCTTGCTTCTTGAGGTGCAAAGCCTTAGATTCTCTCCATGACCCCTTCAATCCTAGGATCTTCACTGCAATTAAGGCTGTACTTTCACCTATGGCCTTTCCTGGCCTCTCAGAGTGTCAAGCCTCATCTGCTCTCTGTAACCCCTTCACACTTTCAACACCAGAACCATGCAGGAGACTCTTACAGATTACCAAGTCCTGTTTCTAGCTAGAGACGGAGGTTTGGGTCCCCTCTGTGTGCTAATGCTGGGGAAATATCTCCTAGAAGATTTCACCACAGGGATGCTGGTCTCTTTTTACTTACAGCTGATTTTTCAGCCCCAGCTAACCAGCATCAATTGTCCCAGTAAAGCAAAGGTTTTACTTCAGGTTCTGGTCTCTAATTTAGAAAATTACAGTGGATTCTTCAGCCCCACCTGACCAGAACCCACAAATTCTCAATTCAAAATATCACACAAACAGCCCTGATAGTCTCTGCTTCCCTTTTAAGTCTCACAAGCGAGGACTCCATTGTTCACAACTCTTTCAGCATAACTGTTCCAAGCTCCACAGCAACAAACCTTAAGCACTCAATGGCTTTCCTGCCCAAAGTTCTAAACGCTTCCACAATCCTCCTAAAAACACCAAGGTGAGGTCTCTCACAGCAATACCCCATTCTCTGGTACCAATTTCTGTCCTAGTTTGTTTCTTCATTGCTGTGACAAAACACTCTGACCACTACCAACTTGGGGACAAAAAGGTTTATTTATCTAACATCTCCTAGGTCACAGTTCATCAGAGAGCCCAAGGTAGGTACTCAGGGCAGGAACCTGGAGACGGGAGCTGGAGCACAGGCTATGGAGGAACACTGCTTACTAGCTTGCCCCCCTGGCCCCTGCTCAGCCTGCTTTCTTATGCAACACAGGCCCACCTGCCCAGGGTGGCATCACCCACAGTGGGCTGGGCCCTCCCACATCACACAACAATCAAGAAGGTGCCCCATGGACATGGCCACAGGCCAGTCCAATGAAGGCAATTCCTCAACCCAGGTGTGTCAAGGTGACACTAAGGCTATCCAGCACAAAGACCCAAAAAAAAAAAAAAATCCCTGACAAAAGTAATGGGAGAAAGGGTTTCTTTTGGCTTATAGCTTCCAGGGATATAGTTCATCATTACAGGGAAGGAGGCAACAAGCAGGGAAGGCATGGTGGCAAGAAGAGGAGGCCAGAAGATCACACTGCATCCACACTTAAGAAGCAAAGAATGAACAGGAAGCGGGGCCAGGAGGTATAAAACCTCAAGGCCTTTCCCTAAGTGATTCACTTCCTCCAACAAGGCTCCATCTTCTAAAGGTTCCACAATCTTCCCAAATGGCACCACTAGCTTGAAAACATGTGTTCAAACACATGAGCTCATGAGGGCATTTCACGTTCAAGTCACAACACTATGCCATTTTATATAAAGGACTGTGCAGCTATGGGCCTCCAGATACCAAGAAGTGCCTATACAAGCATTCCTTACCAAGGGATAAGTGATTACACTGCAACTAAATCCAAAGTTCATCACAAACACCAGGTTTTTTGTTAACTATCCAATACCTGAAAATATCTCTGGTCCATTAGGGCCTTTTGATGATTTTCTTTGGTTGACTCATCTTTTTTTTCCAGGTTACCAGTCTTTTTTTGGTCAATAAGCTCTTGTAATCTAAAGAAGAAAAAAAATCAAGATGATATAATATGTATTCTTAGGTACTAGATTAAAATGGCTAACAATGTTCCAGGTGGCTTCCCAAAAATCTTACTATATTTATAAGTGTGTAAGCATATGTGTACAAGCTTCAAATATGTATATATATATATAGTAAGCCATATTGCCACTGGAAAACAAAAAGTTCCTCCTAATAGACAATTAAAAGGAATCTCTAAATACATGAGGGATCAGACAGAAATCCTCCAACTTCATACACAGAGAGAGAGAGACAGAGAGAGACAGAGAGGCAGAGACAGAGAATGAAAAGAACTACAGCAAAAGATGAACACCAGTACAAGGTGTCCAACTTTAGAGGCTACAGGCAAAAGAGCATTCAGCAGCAACAGCAAGTGGTTCAGGCACTGAAGCAGGGACGTCTTCAGTTTGACGCCTCTCTTCATGTACTATTTATGCCAAAGGACAAACAACAGCGATACCTGGCCATCGAAATGATGTAGAGACTAACAAGGACACTATCAGAGCTGGCTTTAAAAATTCAGGGGAGGGCTAGAGAGATCGCTCAGTGGTTGAGAGCACGACTGCTCTTGCAGAGGACCCAGGTTCAATTCCCAGCACCCACATAGCAGCAAACTGTCATTAACTCCAGTTCCAGGGCATCTGATGCCCTCTTCTGATCTTCATAAGCATTGCACAACATGGGTGCACCTACCTGCATGCAGGCATTACACTCATGCACATAAAATAAAAATATTAAAAAAAAAAAAAAAAAAGAATTTGGGGGAAAAAAGAGTCTCTTTGCCCAGAAACTTATGTATGAGTTATGTCTACACAGCAAACCCTCAACCCTTCTCTAAGTATCCCTGAAGACAGGCTGTGGGAGATTCTCCTCATCCTTTCTGAGCAGTTTCATTAAATCTGTTCCAAATTAACCCTCTTCAATTTGAGCATACTGTCGGTTTCCAATTGGAACTAGCTGGATTCCAGGAATCAAACTCAAGTCATTGGGCTGAGGGAAAGCAGGAGTTTTATGTAGATTCATTGTTAGGTAGATAAGAGAGGGAAACAGAGCCCTAGGTAGTTTGGGGTGGGGGTTGTTTGTTTGTTTTTGTTTTTTGGTCTTTTTGAGACAGGGTCTGCCTGCAGTGCCAGCTGGCCTGGAACTCACTATATAGATTAAACTAGCCTCAATCTCACAGAGATCCACCTGCTTCTACCTTCCAAGTGCTGGGATTTAAGGCCTGGGCCCCGGTGCCCAGTAGCCCTAGGTAGCTATTTTAAACCAGCACACCCTAAGGTAGCAGTTGGGCATAAAAGCAGCTGTGCTGTAGCCAAAGATTAACTTGTCCACCACAGCACACCTGACACAGAGAACAGAACATAAGCAGAGTACCAAGGCTCATGGACAATGACAAGGGATCTTGTGGACTCAGAGCCCCAAGTTATCAAAGTGCAGGAGACTCAAACCCTGAGCTGAAAAAGGCACATGTCCTCAGGGATTTTCAGTTGGACTGGGGATGGGAGGCACTAAAAGACTCAATAAAAAATACCACCAAAGACAGACCAACCAACTCTTGACTCTGGGGCTCCTCCTTTGCAATGAGTCTGTTCTCACTTGCTACTTTCACTTTGAATAAAATTTTGGCTTTGCTTAACTTTGAATACTTTCCTGCCTTTTAATACTTTAATTAGTAGAGAAAAGAACCTGACACTTTGTGCCATTGTGGTTGCTTGTGCTTGTCTGGGATTTGAATGAATACCAGCTCATTAAGGTATGTATCAAACACAACTGAGAAGCCACTGGAGAGAGTGACTGTAGATTGACTGGCACTTTTTTCAGTTCCTTTTATAGGGGAGCCCAAAGCCACAATTAGTATGACTTAATTCCCAAGCTGGCAATTCCTCTTTACTTATCTCAGACTTCTTTTGGGTAGAATGAGAAGCAGACCCCATAATCCCTGACGAGGCTACTTCTTTGGAGATATCTGGGCACAGATATCCCCTAAAGCCAACTTCCTTTCAATTTGTCTACATCTCCCAAAAGGTACCTTGGTCCTTCTGTTTGCTAAAATATGAGTGGTTTAATAAGAAGGAGACCCAGGTCTTGAGGATCTTCTTTTTCTGGACCAATAGCCTACTATGTTCCTTCGCTAGTCCCATCCTGCAGCAAAGAGCCATAGAGCTCATAAATGGAAGGGAATCCAGGCCCTTCTTGTTGGTCATCTCTTCCACATATTGTTTAAGGAGGTAGCCCAGCTCCTCCCTGGATAAGACTGTTACTGTACAACATTAGCCTTTATTAAGCCAGATAACTAGACCATTAGATATCTATTTGAGCCAGGGAGAGGAATCCCTTCTCTAAATATATTTGCCCTCTTAGTACTAATTCAACTGTTAATTGAAAAGATTACAGAGCAATTGTTTCCTCTTTGAAGAATGGAGACACCAGAGATATCTGGGTTATAAGCAAAAGTACCAGGGGCCAAAACCTCCAGCGATGGGTATGTGCAGAACAATTTCACCACTCAGGAATGGATCCTTGGGGATATATGCTGAATGCTGGACCACAACAGCACTCCTGTTCCTAGACCAGAGATAGATTTCCAAGCACAGGGCAGAGAGTGAGGAGGAGAAAGGGCATCTTTCCACCAAGCTGCCCTGTTTCTTTAATTTCAGATGAGTTCGACTACATTCAAGATCACACCAAATTCCCCTACTGTATCTCCTGAAAAACTGGAATACAATGGACCCTTAAAGTCTTAGTATCCCCCTAGGTGATAAGAAATTCAGGCCTCCAGAGGGCAGTTTAAACAATACCATCTTCCAGCTCAATCTGTTTTGCCAGCAGGAGGGAAAATGGACTGAAATCCCGTATGTTCAACTGTTTTTTTTTACTTGGATCATGACGAGTTGGCCTAATCATATAAAACAGACCCCCCCCCCCCGATTTTGACCATGATATGTTCTAGTCTGAAAAAGGAGCCAGAGGGTAAAGTTTTCAGTTAGGTCTCAACCTCTTAAAGAGAGTCCAAATCTCCAAACTCAGACACCACCCAATGCAATTGTTTCTACTCCTCAAGTCTTCTGGCTGTTCATCCTGATCCTGCAACTGTTTAAACCAAAGACCCTTGTCACCATTTCTAGGAATAATATCCTTGAAGTGGCCAGCCAAAGCCCCGCCTCACCAAGAGATGCTTCTGATTAGGTAGATCCCTGGAGGAAACTCTGGAACTATGTATACACGTATTTCTTTTTCCCTGCCTGAACTGAAAGAAATAGATACCTGGGGAATGTTACTGACAGCCGAAATCAATACAACCAAACCTTTGAACAGATGTGGTATGGAAGGATATGATGCTGTTAGGACAAATTTTAGTATCATTAGAGAGACGAGAGACAGGTCAGGCCATCCATGCTGGAAAAGTTTTTCCTTTAAGCTATCAAGTTGATGGATAATTGCTGGAAGTAAAATCTTAACCAGTTCTCTCTGTTCCACATAGAAAGCCCTCTATCTAGGCCGTGAAGGTATCCACTAAAACTAAGTGTCTTAGAATTGGGTCCTCCTGGCAGACGAGGTGAGCTTGCCAGTCCTTTCAGAGATAGGTTCCTTGCCTTTGGTTCTCTGGGCTGAAGGTGCCTGTTTGATGGGTTAATCTTTTGACATATTTCACATCCCTGTACCACCTGTTGGACTATTGCCTTGAGACTTTGGCCCCCATTTTTTCCCCCTAGAATGAGAGTGTTTTCTTGCTGGTCGTAGTGGTGCACTCCTTTAATCCCAGCACTTAGGAGGCAGAGGCAGGTGGATCTCTGAAATTGAGGCCATTCCTGTTCTACATAGCAAGTTCCAGGTCAACTGGAGCTACAGGGAGACCCTGACTCAAAAAAAAAATATTTTCCCTGCCTCAAAAAACAAAATAAAAAATATCTGGTGAAAGAATTTTAGAACTTCCCATTGGAGAGATTTTGGTAACAATAACTGGTTGGTGGAAGCATGCTCAGTGGTCTGAATGATACTTCTGTGTAGAAGTAAAGGTTAGTTCCTCAGGGGAATATTTGGATGTTTTAGTAGGAAGGGATTCCTCTGTAAGAGCAGAGTATTTCCCATGACCCAGTGTAGCTCTCTTGGCTTATGAATTGGCTGCCCTATTTCCTTTAGCTATCAAGTTGTCTCCTTTTTGATACCCAAGACATTAGATTACAGAAACCTGGGGGGGCAAGTGGACCGCATCAAGAAGCTTAAGGCTCTCTTGAAAATGTTTGATGGGGGTTCCTGCCATGTTCAGGAGTTCCCTTTCTTTCCATATTGCCACATGGGTATGAAGACTCAGGAAAGCATACTTGGAATCTAAATATATGTTGACTCTTTTTCCTTATGATAATTCTAATGCCTTAGCAATGGCTATCAACTAGACTGCTGAGTACAGGAGTTTTAGGGAAATGTCCTTGAGTTGAGGATTCCAAAATCAATAACTACTGTATACCATGCATATCTGATTCCATCCTTTATGATCCCCTCTGTTTAGAGTACCATGTCAAGATTTTCTAAAGGTTGATCTGTGAGATCAGGCTGGGCTGCAAGCTTTCCATTAGGACCTCTTCACTTGAATAAAATGGTTCCCCTTTCAGCAGAAACATGGCAGGACCCAAGAGTAATTTCTGATCCTTCTAGGGAGAGGACTTTATGTTTGAGTAGTCCACTATCAGAATCATTAAGTTCCCTTTGGAGTTGTCTAGCCCTGATGTCATGTGGCATGTGGATCATGAGGGGGTGCCCAAGTGTGAACTTTTTAGCCTCAAGGATGAGAAGTTCTGCTGAGGCTATAACCCAAAGGCATCTAGGCTAGTCACATGCCACTTGATCTAATTCTTAGGTATCCTGTCAGGACGAGGGATCTAAAAGTTGTGTTGTTACCCCTAATGTTGTCCCTTTTCTGTTACATATAGGTAGAAGTTGGGTTGGGTGAGCAAGCCTAGAGCTTGTTACTCAGGTTAAA